CGAGGGTTGAGCTAGCGAATCACATAAAACTTGGATAGAAAAGCTTTTTCGGAAATAAAGTTAATGGGGTCAGGCGCAATCCCTCAAAGGTCAGGCCGCCTGAGCTTTTGAGGGGTTGTTTCAGAATTCAAAAATCGCCCTTTTTTTGACATGAGTATTGAGCGCAAAGCCTCTTCTTGCTGTATTGAATTTGGAGCCAAAGACTCCACCCCTGTGAAAAATATAGCTCTGAAAAGAGGACTATCTACATCTAAACCTTGCCGTCAAGTTGCGTGTGGTTGTGCAATCGCAGAAAGTCGGGCCTACAGGCTTTCAAAAAATATAAACCTGTAGTGAAGGCTGGTCCTTCAAAATATAAAACCCTGAGGACTTAGAGGTGAAGCGGAGGGTCGTTTAGGGGTTTCACAGGGGGAAGGGGTCGTTTTTGAAGGACTTGTGCCTGACCTCTTGCTCAACTCTGGTCATCATCAATTTTGCGATAGTGATTATTAAAGGCCACAGGCGATACAGCAAAAGTGTGACGCTGGCAGTTGCTGAACCATGGCCGCGCGCGTTAATTCCAGTCGCTTAAATGTTCGACCAAACCGGCTCAAGTGGTTCGTTTTTCAAGAACACACATGATTATCATAATTAAAAAGCGATCCGCTCCAGACCAATAGCTCACTGGATGCTGGACTGAGGAGTCCTACGTTCAACGTAATTTCGCACCAGTGGAGTTGCACTGATGGGCGTTTACTACGCTTGGAGGTGAAGCGGAGGGTCGTTTAGGGGTTTCACAGGGGGAAGGGGTCGTTTTTGAGCAATAGGTTTACTACGGTCCCCTATTTTTATGAGTCCAGTGCAATGAGTGGATTTATGGCAAATATCCGAAATTTTATGCTAGACTTTGTACGTCAACTAAAGTTTTGTGACCATATGTGATAGGCAATATCTTGCTATCTCAACGACCTACCGACTAGTAATAGCCAATAATATTTTCTACATGTTCTGTAGAGATCTTTGATCATTTGCAAACCAAGTTTTTTTCTGAAATTTGCGAGCATTATTTACAATTCTGGATATGGCTCAGAATTTGCCATTAACCTAAATTTTTCACACTAAAATCAAAATTTTGTTACACTCGTGGTAGACATGATGCCACGAAACCTTGGCCTACTCAGACAATTATGGCGAGCACCCGCCGACCACCTACGGGCGACGCCACGCCCATCCAGAGGGCGCGCCGATAAGTGCCCGGTAAGCGCCCGACAATGCCCGCGGATGACCCGATAAGCGCCCGAAAGATACCCGCGTGCCCCGGTAAGCGCCCGATATGCGCCCGACAATGCCCGCGCATGACCCGATAAGCGCCCGAAAGATACCCGCGGATGCCCCGGTAAGCGCCCGATGACTGCCGGCCAAGCGACCGATGTGTGCTGGCGGGTGTCCCTCCAAGCACCCGATAAGTGTGCAATAATCACCCGTGGGTGGCCCGAAACTCGCCCGGTACGCTGTTGTTTTGCATGCCTGCAGGCAGTCACAGTTTATATCCCCTCAGGCAAGAACAGAAAATCAAAAATATTTTCATTTGCAAAGTTTATTACAAAAACACATTAAAATTATGCAAAGGCACAAAATTTTGGCAATCAAAGCACCGTAAATCAATAGAATAGTCAAAATATCTTCTTTCCAATCGAGTCGAACACAGTCGCGCAGTCCATTTACAGTTCCGGAGACGTTGAGCTTCGACATTGAAATGCCTCATCATCCTCGATGGCTGCTTCCTTGCTCTGCTTTTGAAAATAGCACGTTATTATTGTAATCTGCTGCATAAATGAACTTACCCTTGCTGGAGTCCATCCCAAATCCACATCGAATGTGTACGACCGTATGTCACGCCTAAATAAAAAGGTTTAAATTCTAAGAAAATGGCATATAATTTAACTTACAATGCTTTCTGTAGTGCTGCAAACAGGTATCCGCTCCAGCTGCTCCTCTGCGTCCGGAGCTTCGCAAGCGCTTGTCGCCTCTCTGCCTCAGTAGAGCCGAGGCCGTTGTAGAACGCGGAGTCTGTAAGGTCCATTGTTTCGTCGCTATCTCTTTTCGTCCAAATTGCAGGACGTCCTCGCCAAAACCTATAACAAATAAATTAAATAAGTAGCAGAGATATTTACAGATCAGAAATAAGCTGAGAAATGATTTCCAAAAGTACCCAATAGTGCTTCTTCAACGTGCTCCGGGAGATTCGATAACTTCTCGTCCCGACCACTCCGCCGGTTCATCCTCGTGGATTACATCTGAATTGCTTGTGGTGGGTCGGTGATCTGAAATTGCTTGTCTTTTCGAAAAGTACAAGTGAAAAGTGAACATACTCTTGTAAGCAAATGTCTGTATAATGCGCCCATTTTTTGAAAATTTACATCCTTTTTTCTTGGCTGCCATTTGGCAGCCAAGGACTTTAACGTGCATTGCTTGAAAGGCGGGTTTGCTTCGATCCTCTATATGTTAGCGCAGTTGTTGAGGTCCACATTCGTTGTCGCTGTCCCGTAGTCTATTTGTTTCAGCGTCGCTCAATTGATCCACCTTCTTCTGCAATTCTAACAGATCACAGTTGCCATTCGAGTGTTCGCTTAGCAACTGTCTGACTTTCTTTGTTAGCAAATATCTACAATGGGTGTTATCGTATGAGTCGCATGTCAGATTGAGAGCCCTACTTATTGATAATTAAAGAGGTGGCGTTCGTAGTCGATTGCTTCACATTTACTTGGATCCTTCGGTGAAGACTCTCAAATGGAGCAGACGTCCATTGATACAGTGTTCCGTACATCGAAATTATTTCCCTCATAGCGTGATCAAAGAACCACTGAAGAACTTGCTTGACTTGTTATCGCTGCTCAGAATTAGTTCACTCACATGACATTTCATTGTGTAAATGATCGGCCGGTTCATTGTCCAAATTTCTCTAGTACCTCTCGCTGCTGACTTTGCTATCTCAGTACCTTTCAGTGTAAGTGTGTGAGTCTTTGAGATAACCCTCACGCACAGCCAGTAACCCAGCAGCGCTGTTGCTGCTACTGGGCAAGGGATGATTCCTACAGCAGCCGTCAAGGGGAAGACTGCTTCTGCCAACTAAAACAGTCATAATGTTCCATGTTCGACTTTCGATGAATCTTGGCATAACGATTAAGTTACTTGAATGATTCAGCCAACACCAAGATTTTTATCGTATTTATTCGGCTAACGTTTCGGCGTAGTCGCCTTCATCAGAGCCTATAAATTGAGGAACATTGAGAGTTAACCTCTCAAACATCTCATCACGTGCAGGAAGAGTCCCAAAAGTTGAAAAGACTCTCGTTAAGGCCTAGAACTATCAGCTCACCTTTTGCTGTTAGATGAGGACGAACCACCGCTGGCTGGAATGCGCTGGCAATGAATGAGGCAAGTCTCTGGAGGCTACGCATAGATCAAAACCTGCATAACTCCAGTAATGGCGCGAGCTCGGTTGTTACGGCGGTGCATTCTTCTTTTCTGTTCATTTTGGGATTTCTACATAGTATCCAGCACGCTTCGAGGGTCTTTCGTGCGGACACCTCAGTCTCCCGTGATAGAATGCTAATCGAAACATCGAATTCTGCATCTTGGTGGCATAACCTGCGATGTGTGTGCATTACTGGAGTTATGCAGGTTTTGATCTATGCGTAGCCTCCAGAGACTTGCCTCATTCATTGCCAGCGCATTCCAGCCAGCGGTGGTTCGTCCTCATCTAACAGCAAAAGGTGAGCTGATAGTTCTAGGCCTTCTTTTCAACTTTTGGGACTCTTCCTGCATGTGATGAGATGTTTGAGAGGTTAATTCTCAATGTTCCTCACTTTATAGGCTCTTACGAAGGCGACTACGCCGAAACGTTAGCCGAATAAATACGATAAAGATCTTGGTGTTGGCTGAATCACTAAAGCAACTCAAAACACTCATAGTTCCTCGAATAAGGGAAACCGCCATTTTCACAAACTTCTTATTTTCGTAGCTGTGCATGTCGGTAGATCCTCTATCGGCAAGATCAAGCTGTTGGCGTAGGTATGAGAAAACGCACCAAGGAGGCATTTTTTGAGCTCTTGCAGATTTTCGCGCGAAATCCTCATGTCGGGGTACCTCGTAATGGCATTTGTAAGGTCTAAATTCAGCTAGATTCGTGATATACACCGTAACACGAGAAAATGGTGCTTCCATGCAAAATCCATATGATATTCATATTCAGGGTGACAAGTGACCCCTCTAGGTGAAGTTTCCCGCAAAATCCGCGACATCGACCCCCTACCGTAATCCTACCATAACTCAAGTAGACGACATTAGCGTGCAGAATAAACCTGATATTCGTGTTCAGCATGATGATTACCTCCCCCCCCTTCCCAGGCGAAGTCTGAGCGAAATCCACGTCGTTCACTTTTCAGGTCAACTAATTAGTCAATTGATTACATTAATGTGGAATAGCGCCTATATATAAGATTATGCATGCCTCCACTTTTACTTGCTCTCATACTTGCTATTTGCTCTCCTCCCGCTCAGATAATCGCCGGGGGCAAGCGGCCATGCGAATTTTGAGCAAGCGGGCACCGGAAAAATAGTTCGCTGATTTTTTGTGGTCCGCTTGCAGAAATTTGGAATAATTTTGGCCAATTTTTAGACGAACGCTCGAAGATCTATCGCGGTTTTTCTATACATAAGTTGCGGCACAGTGGCCGCATTCTCGCGGATTTTCCGCGAGAACATGCAAAATTATTGAGAGCCGCACGGTCCTTTTTGAAGGACCGCACAGCCCTCAGGTACTTTCCGCTGAAAGAAAGTACCCCAAACTTGGGTAATAAAACCATCGATGGCACCTCTGCCACATAGAGTCTCATCTTTTCTCGGCGTACGCCCGAAACTGCGTAAAAAGAATCTGAGCGCCTGCTGAAAGTTTGGCCAGCGCTCGCTGAAAGAGATTGTTTGACGAGCGCTTGCAGAAAATTTTGTATTGATGCCCGCCTGCAGAAAAGCGCGAGTTTGCGGACCGCCTGCCCCCGGCGATTATCTGAGCGGGATACTTATGTCTGGCAGTACGGTTGCAATATGTTCAACGCGTTCAACTGCTTTCGACATGTTTGACAATCTTATGGTTTCGCGCGCATTCGGCCGCTTTCATTCATCCACTTCGGCTGCGTACAAATCGTAAAATCTCATTCCACTTTCTTGCCTGAGTATCATTTCTTTTACATGCATTTTGCGCCGATCGCCACTCTTGTCACTGTCATGCGCTACGCCGCTTCTCCTCTTGGAACCTGACTGGGGTGAGTAAACTCTTTACTTTCTAGTTTTCTTTGCTTTTATAATGTTTTTCTTTTCTTCTTCTATAGTTTATGCCCCCTCTCCTTGCGTTCCGGAGGGAATTTTTTTGTTCTGCTCTCCGTCCAAGGGTAGGAACGAAACGGAGAAATCGATTTTATTTTTCTTCAACCTTTTTCTTCTTTCATCGCCTTCTTTTTTTCATCGCTTTTCTTTCATCACTCTCTTTCACTACTCATTTGATGTGTCTGTACCTCTTAATCTGTCGCGGGTGACTCCTTCTGAGCAAACATGTAAGGCATCGCCAATGAAATCGCAGGGTGGGATAAGTCGCATGGCTGGCGTTTTTTCTAAATTCGTTAAAATTACAACTTTTGTGTACAATCGCATAACCTGCGGTCAGTTCTTACTTATTCCGTACTGCTCCAGCTCGCCGTCAATTTCATAAGATTCTCGGCTTCTCATGCGTTCATCTTCATCATTGCCGGCAATCCACACGCGACTTCTTTCGATGCGATTGCCCTTGATGTAGCATTTCGAGCAGCCATAGTCAGAAGTCCATCTCGGGGTTCCGTAGAGTGCCTGTTGAGCCTTAAACATTTAACTTTATCCTGAGTGAATTTAATTTTTCCAAATGATTCCCACAGCCATATCTGGAACTCCTTTACAATCACACTTTCACATTCCACGTATTTACTTGAGTTGTACCTCAAGTGGAGCATCACGCAGGCTCGCAAGCTCGGACTCAAACCTGCACTACTCATTTTTTTCCAATCTTAGTCTTAACCATGCCTCACCGAGTAAACAGGGTCTCCATCATCTTGTCCGCAGGCTTTATGCGACTGTAGATAGCTCCTGCTAGTAAGAGGTTGTGATACTTGTTGGCTTCCGATTGGGGCAATCCTTCCACACGACTATATAGTGGCCATATCTCTCTCCTTTAGGGATAGGCTTTAAATTAGGGCTATGAGCAGGGTTGAGCTTGGGGTCAGGCGCGCCCGACCTGGGGGTCGTATTGGGATAAGACTAGGGGGAGGGGGTCGTAATAAAGACGAAATCACAAAATGGAAGGAATGCTACGATTGAGAAAGGTGAAAAAGAAGAGCGCGAGACCAATGGATATCATTCCACCTTAGAGCAAAAGACTGTCTTTAATTGCATATTGACTCCACTAAGGAAGTCTTGCCAAACGTAAGTCAGTAAAGACGTTTGCTGTGTAAAGGGTAAGATTTCCGTAATCAGCATGCCAAATTACCTATACAAGCTCTACAAACCATCACCTATCACGTTTTCTAGTGTTTCCTAACGTCTAGAAATCGTAGTTTTCAGACATGATTAACTTGGTGACGAAAGTAAAAGAAGTCTGCTTTCTTGTGCTCAAAACAAAGTAATACTCATTATTAGTGTATGGTAGAAATTAGATTTTCTATCGCTTTCAAAAAGTGGGTCAAGAAGTGCTGTCAAAATTTCAATCACCGCGTTTTCCACCTTGAGTGCTTCAACTTCACCGATCACCACAAAGCCGAAACAAGTCAAAGTAGATTCAAAAACCTACTGTAGAATCTTCTGGGTTTGTGCTAGCAAATCACATAAAACTAAAGTGGAGAAGATTCTCCGGTATTAAAGTTAATCGGGTCAGGCGCAACCCCTCAAAAGCTCAGGCCGCCTGAGCTTTTGAGGGGTTGCGCCTGACCACATTAACTTATCTTTAACAGCCCAAAATTCTCCACTTCTTCACTCAAACACTTGACTAAACCTTTCTCTTCTCGCAGCAAAATTTTTGTCGGATTTCTTTACCTCTCCTCTGAATTATTGATGTTTTACTCTACCCATCTGCCGAAGAAGATCGTCGTCAATCCCTCCGTCGCCCTACTGTAGGGAACGCAAACGTGCAAACTTTCTACACATTGCAAGACGCGGCTTCATTTTTCGCCGCAGTCGTTCCGTCGCTCTTCTCCGTCATTCCTTTTCACCCATCCGAACTGTTTGTTTATTTGGCAAGTAGACTTAGGTAGCTGTTGTACTTTGCTCGTTAACCTTCAGTCGCAAACGCCGATATTTCTACTGTTTCCTTTGCATTCAGACCCAACAGCAGCTTGGTAACCTGGAGAATATACTTGGGTAATTCGAGAATTTTTCATCGAATGAATGAATATCGAATAAATTCGAAAAGGAAAAATTTCGAATAAACGAATATCGAATAAATTCGGAAAATCAAAAATATCGAATGAATGAATTTCGAATAAATTCGGAAAATCAAAAATATCGAACGAATGAATATCGAATATATTCGAACATTGGAAGTCGAATTTCGAACAAATATTCGAATGATTTATCGAATAACGAAAGCAATCACATCTCAAACTTGCCGACATATCTGGCTAAAGCCGATCCAATCATAATCAGCCCCCTAATATCCCATACACCAAATCCTAGCTCAAAATTTTCCAAAAATTGCTGAAATCAATAAAGTAGATTTCGGTTCTGATCAGCACCCTCACTTACCCCTTTGTACCAACTCCCAACCTCGTAGCTCAATATTTTCCAAAAATCGAAAAAATCGATAAAGTAAATTTTTATCCATAATCAGCACCTTCACTTACCCCTTGTACCAACTTCCAACCTCATTTCATTTGGGATTTTCTGAGACTTACAGCCAGAAGTCTATTGCCGGACAAAGTGCACCAGCCATCTTCAAGCGGTCGCGAGCGTCGTGTAAGCGGCTGCACTTCGTGATCCTTGGGCGTTGTGCACCGTACGGTAAGAACCGCATCTGTGCACTTTGATCCTGCGGCTTTGTTCGACAGCAGACCTTATTTGTCAGAATTCCACTAGATTTCAAAGACGTTTAGCAGAGTAAAGATAAAATTGGCTGGAGCTAAAATCTAAAAATGAGAAACATTGCAACTTGGTTAAGCATCTAACGAGCTGTTCGGATTCATTGCGCTAGGTGTGCGATCTTTTGAAGCAATAAGGTGGCCACATATGTACTTAACTAAACAATAACTAAAGCAACCACATCTCAAACTTGCCGACATATCTGGCTAGAGCCGATCCAATCATAATCAGCCCCCTAGTATCCCCTATACCAACTCCTAGCTCAAAATTTCCCAAAAATTGCTGAAATCGATAAAATAAATTTCGGTTTTAATCAGCATCCTCATTTACCCCCTGTACCAACTCCCAAGCTCGTAGCTGGAGATTTTCCAACCGATAAAATTTATAAAGTAAATTTTTATCCATAATCAGCACCCTCACTTACCCCCTTGTACCAACTCTCAGCTCCGCAGCTCAAACTTCCCCAAAAATCGATAAAGTCGGTCGGTCGGCATCTAGTCTATACATCAGCAAAAAGTCATATTTTACCCATTATGGACGATCTAAAAAGCAGTCGATATAAATTTTTATGCTGTGCCCAAAAGATTCTTCTTCAGATGGTCTGAAAGAGACTGATGTACACCAGAATTAACCTTATTTCTTATCAGCATCAACAATATAAAAGCAAAGGGCTTGCTCTACTTTCTACATCAATTAAAATCCACATATGATTTTTTTACTGTCGCAAGCAGTCGGAAGAATGCGTCTCTCTACACAGTTCAAAGGTATAACGGTTGCAAAAGATGCATTACCGAGTTTTGCGAAAAAAAAACGCGGACGAAGTGAGCTTGATACTCAGTAGTTGGCTTTGCAACAAAGTCGAATAATCTCATTACGGAGTCATTCGAATACGAATTCGAATAAATATTCGAATAAAACATTCGAATAAAATCTATTCGAAACCCGTTTTTTGATTATTCGAGTTTTCGAATAATATTCGAAACCTCGTTTTTTGATTATTCGAGTCTTCGAATATTATTCGAAACCTCGTTTTTTGATTATTCGAGTTTTCGAATTTTATTCGAAACCCTGCTTCTTTGATTATTCGAGTTTCGAATATTATTCGAAAATGGAAGAACTCCGAATATCCAATTTCGAATACGAATATATTCGAATGTTTTATTCGAATGATCGAATTTCTATTCGATTCGGACCCAAGTATACTGGAGAAGGTGACTATTTCTGACAAATGCGTTTGCCTGCGTTCCGTTTGCGTTTCAGTTGTCTTTTATAATCTGTGAGACTGGCAACATATTATTACGTGTTTTGGTCAATGACGCTTTGGAGTGAAAATTTTAAAACTAGGAGCTTTTCTTCTTACTTTTCAGTTTTCTCTTAAGTTAGCCCTTCTGCTGACATCTTAATGTTGTTCAAATTGTATTACGTTCGCTATTAATGCCATCATTTCAAAAGCATGGCACGGGTACGCTACATTGCTCTGTTTGAATTCTCGCTGTAGAGCCCTCGCATCAATTTTGAAATCTCTGTCACATTCCGAAACTAGGCTGTCTTTTGATATAATCAATTTGAATTGAAACTTGCAGGAGCTTTGTGGTCGGAGGGAAGGACGTTTTGTTTGTTGTTCTGTTGATACTGCGACTGTTGCTGATACTTGCAGTTGCGGCTGCCGATGCTTTAGCCAACAGAACGGTCAGTTCTTTTATGATGTTCTAAATTTAATCTTCTCCGTGATCTTTGATGTTTTCTAGAACTCGCAGAAGAGCCTGGCTCTGCTAAAAGTTGTATGTGCTAAAGAATTTCAAGAAACGCGAATGGGGTAGGTACAAACGATGTATAATTGTTCTTTCCCGCTGCCTGGAATACATAAAATTGCACATGCAGAGATTTACGATATATGCTAAGATTGATAAAATTCCATTGTCTTCTCAATGTTCTAAAATTACTCTGCCTTATGTTTCTTTGGCTCTTATATGATTCGTTGTAGGTGTTGTGAATAAAACAGCAGCTCTAGTGAAGTGTTGAGCCTTCAGATTGAAAAAGATGGTTTTGATGGCACAGGCAGAATCGACACATACAAAAAATACGTTCACGTAGGTTTTTGAATCTTTTATTCTTTCCAGATTCTTTTTATACTTTATTTGGTATGCAGTCCATATCTTTGGAGCAGAGTTTGCGTCCTGCCTCGGGCAGATTCCATGCGATTTCATCGCCTCGCATTCCTCTTACAAGAAACTGTTACAATCCATTGCATAACCATCAACTTGCAAATCGGTTGTGAAGGTTATTCAAGACTGGCCGTGTCGGAAAACTATGAGAACCGAAGTGTAAGGGTTGTTTCATACTGTCGCACTGACTGCAGCAGACTGCAGCTGATGCACTGACCGCAGCAGACTGCAGCAGACTGCAGCAGACTGCAGCTGACTGCACTGACCGCAACGGCCGCACAATCGCTGCACCCTTTCGTAAAAGAAAAAATAGTTGGGAATACATCGAAACAATGTGATTTACGCCTAAAAAGTTCCTAGATTCTTACTTACTTTTCTCAATCAACTTTTGGCGATTGTTTTTCTTTAATATGCTCATATTTGTTCAGAATTCTTTTGTCATTGCATATACCTGTTTCACTCCCGCTCGTGATGTCTATTAGGGCTTTTTGAGCTACAATTATTTATCCTCCCCACCTTCACAAAAGGATGTAGCGGTCTGTGCGGCCCCGCGGTCAATGCGGTCAGTGCGGTCAGCTGCAGTCTGCTGCAGTCTGCTGCAGTCAGTGCGGCAGTCTGAAACAACACTAAGCTGACCGGCATCATAGGTGCGATAAGGTGAGAATGACCTCTCCAGGGTGAAGGGGGTCACGGTGGTCGCAGCCCCTCTAGGGTGAAGGGGGTCAGAGGGGGGGGGGGGGCAGGGGGGGTTGGGGGGGGGGGGTGAGTGCGTGTGTGAATGTGGGTGTGCAATTATATACAACGCGCCGCCAGGAACGGCATCGTTTCTTTCACAACCTCATTTGCCTCTAGTAACAGTTCATGATTAAGTGTCTTCTTACATTCACAAAAGAAAGATATTCTGAGTCTAGTTTTGTTTTTACTGTTTTTTCAAGAAAGTCACCATCACCACAGCAATGTTTCTACGGCTGTAGGCATCGATCACGATTCGGAAAACATCATCTACATGATGACGAAGGCATGGTATCCGTATAGGACATGAGGTAATGGTAAGCATTGATATGCTGAGTTTGAGTCGTACACCTAGCCATTGTTTCAGCACTTACATATATCAACCACAAAGTAATGGAGGAAAGGTGATGAAAATGACAAGAGGTGAAGGCTTTTGTGGCGTTCAGTGAGTTACCTCAATTGATTGCCTTCTTCCTGTATGAGTTCAAATACTCGGATATCAAGAATCATCCAGTGGGTTATAACCTTTTAACTGGTTGGTGAGTCCAAGAAGGCGCTGGCAGCGGCAGCAGGGGTCCCGCAACGAGTGCTGCGTCATGATTTCGCAAGTCATTGCTCAATAGCCGTTGTACTTTCAAATGTTTCAACGTTGAACTTTCATTTCCAAACTTTCAAGCTTTCAATCACTTCAGTTTTCCCCCACCGTTTTCATCACTTTTCATAAGTAATAGCGCTTATAAGACTCACGCCATTCCAATCCACTAAATCCGCTTGATCCAATAATCCGTTTTGATGTTACTTGAATCGATGAAGTTAGCAATACTAAAATTGATCAACCGGATCAAACGGATCAGGTGTGGCGTCGTAGAGGAAGAAGATTATGAAGTATAACTATGGCTTTGATTTTTTCTTGTAGTTATCATGGACAACGAAGGACCCGCGATGTTCTACAAGCACGAGTTGCGTGAATTGTTGCATTGTGCGGAGTTCGCGCCCTCGCCTTCTTGCTTTGTTCCTATGAGCAACATGGCGCTTACAGCTTCGTTTCGGCCTTTTTCCAAGGGATAGCTGCAACATACTTCATCATAAACGCCTTCATCTTTGGTGCATTGGCGGCGTGGCGCCATACATGCACCCTCATGCGTCGCCTACATGCTGCAGGCGGCGCCTTTGTACACCCCAGTCCTCCGCCACCCGTTATTGGAAGTCGTGATCCGCCAGCATTGGAATAAAAGACGATTTTTTGTAATAGTTGTATACTTGAAATAAAGAGTGTAATAAGTGAATGTGTTATGTTGTACTCGGATAACCGTAGATCGGTTTTTGATTACCTCTTATTGTGTATCAAATTCATTTAAGGTTATAAAATAGAAATTGCAGAATGCTAGCTGAAAGGCTAAACGAGCTGTACACCTGGGCAGGGTGTGAGCCACCCGGATTAATGTGAGTTAGCCGATCTATATCAGTAAGTGCTCAAAATCTTTTTTAGGAGCATTATTGGATATTGGACGGGGGTCGCCGTCGCGGTTTTGGTGATGATGGTGGGCGTCCTACGTGAAATGGCCTAGACTGGAATCGCGACTCGAGGCGGCGAGAAGAAAACCTGCTCCGCAAGTTGGAATGTTGGAAGGAGAATCTGTTTATTTTGATGCACGTAGCCGCGTGGATATGTCTCAGTAATTTGTGTAAATAAAGTTGCACATCTGTTTTTATGTGTTGTAATTGTGTACATATGTTCTGAGTAGAATTTTTTATTTCTGAACCGCTATGGGACAAGGCACGCATACACTTCGGAGGGGCGCGATTGTCGTAAGCTACTTTTCGTCACTGGTTGATATTATCGATTTTTCACAAACTTTGAGCTACGGGGCTGGTAGTTGGCACAGTGGGGTAACTGGGCATGCTGATTACGAATAGAAATTTAATTTTCAGATCCTATCGATTTTTTCGATTTTTCACCAACTTTGAGCTACGGGGCTGGGAGTTGGCACGGTGGGGTAACTGAGCACGCTGATTACAAGAATGTTATTGACAGGGTCGGAGGGGTAGGGTCTGCCAGCTATGTTCGAATAAAAAAGTGCACATTGCAAGGAACAGTTGAACTTCTTCAGGAGCGGTCACGTCATACATGATAAATATAGTCTAAATTTAGTGAGATGACATGAGTGTTTGCGAAACTTTTTATAGAGATAAAGAGAACTTAGAGCTCGTCGTGCTCTGTCACATCTACATTTTCACATTCTAAGTTTTGTATGTCTAACTCTCCAGGAGTCTCATCAGAGAGCAAGAAGTAGAACTGTGTAAAAAAAACGATCTGGATCAAAAATAGCCTTGAATTTTGCTTCTTCTTCGAGACGTTGCAGCGACTTCTTTCCTGGGCCTTTGGTTCGTCCGGGAAAGTCTGCAGTTTGACGACCCGTCTCTTGCCAATCTTTCGGATATTGCAGAAACTCATATGGTGATAGTCGATCCGGTCCACTTATAACTATCCTATAAATTGTGTAGGTAGTTAGGATGAAGTAAAGGTGCTGACGTACCTTAAGTAATTACTCAAGTGTTCAACAGTTGTACGACCTCTCCTCGGCTCTCTGATTACCGAGTAAATCGAGAACCCTCTTTCTACTTCCGCAGTACTAATGGGGTCGATACCAGCTTCTCTAGCAAGGACATCAACAGTCGACGATCAGTAAGTGAGGGAGGGCGAGATTGCATGTGTTTGCGAAGAACTGGGAGAAAATACTGCATTTTTTCTTTGGCTTTTGTAAGCTCTGCCCTAACCTCCGCTGGCAATGATGCTTTCAGCTGCGTAGAAAGTTGTTCGAATTCAGATTCAATTCTGGCTTTAGGAAAATTAAGAAATTTCGACACTTTGCGGCGACTATCAATTTCAAGAGCATTGTAGTCACTGAGTGCTTCAGGTGAGAAAGACTTTGCTGCATGAAGTACAAAATCTGCCGGGTATGCTATACGTGACTCAAGCGTAGCAATTATCTTATTTACTAGAAGGAATCTCTTCGGTTGATCCATATTTGTGAATTTAGCAGCTTTGAATTTTTCGACGACTTGAAGATCATCTATTGATCTTCTGGAGACATCCTCATCAAATCTTGGCTTACTTGTTGGGTTTCTGATGTAACCTATGAGTTCGTTCCGCTCTGTTGTCAGCAAATCAGTAATTTCGGCAATACGCTGTTGTTCCGGATCTAGTTCGCCTTCTGCCTCCATGCTAAATTCCAGTGTGTCCACACCACCTTGAAGTCTATACCTCATTAAACTATGCCTCTAATAAGCAGTCACAAATTAAAAGTTTCCTGATTAAATCAAGAACTGAAAAGAAATTAAGGAGGGTGAAATAAAGGATATCTAGTTGAACCGCGAAAATGGAACAAGGAGTAAATTTGCAACGTGTTCAATAATCAAGAATGTCATAGTGGAAATGCATTCTAAAATCAAGTGCGCATCGACAAAACTAAGAGGATTCTTAGACAGTCACGAGATTCCAAAAGAAAAATGTAACTTTTGTAGATGAACAGCTAGTACACGAAGGTGGCCACCATTGTAACCGTTTCTTCCTCTGCTTTCAGAAAATATACAGGGTGTCCCAAAAGTATGTATCGAACGTTTGATCGTTAATATCTCTCTTCCCAAGAAGTCTTTTGCCTTGCTTTAGGTACCGTTTTGTAGAGCTGGCTTCAACTTAGATTTGCATTATAGAACGAATCATTCATCTCTCTTCATTACTGTAGGATTACGGTAGAAACTTGAATCATATGGTGTTAATGTGAAAAAAGCTGCCGTTTCAAAATTTTTCAAAAAATCGTGAAAACTTGTGTAATAGGGTTTTTATGGACGCTGAGTTCAATAATTAACTATTCACAAGATTACGAAGCTTTCTAAACGGTGCAATCCCACTTTTTAGGAACATTGAAAAAATGGCCGCTACTTCTTACCTGGCATAACTCTTCAATGAAGCATCATAATAAGTTGGGAACTTTACAGTTATAATCAGCAACTCTAATTAGCCTAGCATAAAAGTTTTCAAACTGTTTTGTTTCCTTTCTGTGGCAAAATATGGCCTTTCATGGCTCAAAACCCTCTTTGAAGTTTCTACCGTAATCCTACAGTAATGAAGAGAGAGGAGTGATTCGTTCTACAATGCAAATCTAAGTTGAAGCCAGCTCTACAAAACGGTACCTGAAGCAAGGCAAAAGACTTCTTGGGAAGAGAGATATTAACGATCAAACGTTCGATACATACTTTTGGGACACCCTGTATAGTTTGTCTGGGATCCGTTGAAAAAAGTGCGTGGTGAAGGGTGTGCCTAGTGATTTCTGGAGATTTTCGAGTATTCAACATAAAAAAATTCATAACTTCTGAGATGAACAGCTAGTACACGGAGATGCTCACCATTAGAACCGTCTCATTCTCCGTTTCAGAAAATATATAGTTGTAAGGGATCCTTTGCAAAAAGTGTTCTCAGGTAGACGTCTTTTTACAATGGTGAAAAGGTCCCTGCCTGAGAACTCCCGTTATAAAATTCTCACCCCCCCCCTTCACCAGGCACTTTTTGCAAGGGATCCCTTACAACTATATATTTTCTGAAAGCGGAGAATGAGGCGGTTCTAATGGTGAGCATCTCCATGTACTAGCTGTTCATCTACAGAAGATATGAATTTTTAATTGAATTTTTTCAAATTTTGCCTATAAATCTTCTCCCTCCTTTCCGATACACAAACAATTTTCAAATATCTCCTATGCTTAATCTAAATTTAAACAAGAAGTAGTTACAACCTCACTTTGTTTCAACAACCCTAATTTTTCCAACTTCTAAAAATACTGATCATTTTCAAATGTACTTTTGGTTTCTCATTTATGCAGTTCACATATATATATATCAGTGGCGTACCGAGGGGGGGGGGCGCGCGCCTCCCCCCCCCCCCCGAGAACGGGTCGCGAAATTTTTGAAAGTTACTTACATGGGTTACAAAATTATGCAAATGATTTGTCTGCATTTGTAAATAATTAAAATAATTTTTAAAATTTTTTAAAAATTCATTTTACCCTTATAAAAAAATTTTTTTCGGGGGCGTGGCGTCAGCCACGCCCCCTTTTCCCAGATTTTAGGGGTCGGGGACACGCAAAAATTTTAAGAAGCACCCCAAAAAAATTTTCTAATGGCTAACGCCACGCACCTTCTTTAGAGAATTTTTTTGTCGCCCCCCCCCGAGCCGAAATCCTGGGTACGCCACTGATATATATATATATATATGTATATATACATATATACATATACATATATATATATGTCTGTCATATATCTGTTAGAAAATCATACATCCTTTTCCACTTGCTTTTCGTTTCAATATAATTGCCGAATTTAACAAGTTCAGTATTACGCAGTGTCCAGTAGTCTTCAGCGGAATAAATTTTTCGTGGCAGTCAGGCGTTCCGATCTTCCTGTCCTTGTTTCTTCCATTGTCATCCAATGCCTTCTTTAGAAGATAACGAGAAGGTTCCAATCCTGTTCCCGTGTGTTTCCTTCTTACCATTTACGTGCACATTTACCAAGAATGGCCATTTATACATGCAATAATTTTACTGTATCTTTCAGAGCTTCCTGGGCAGACAATATTTTACTTCTTTCTACTTGCTTCATCATTCATAATTTTTGATACTTCCTATCATCACACTTCTCAGAACCACTTTCTATTACAACTTCTGATGGCCTCACAATAGTTGATAGTCGTCATCTTTCAATATTTTCATTGAATTACAAGAAAAAATTAAAGCATGAAACGGCAACATTAAGACAAGAATATAGTCATCGGTCGGTCCGGTCCTTCATCCCATATTCGTATGAAGCAAGTGACAAGCGTTGTAAAGTGCGGTTCACAATTATACGAACACCCCAAATTTTAGAAATTTCTGGACTTTTTGACAGAAACTCAAAAAGCCGTTGGTACCACGCGAAAGAGCACAACCGAAAACGGTATATGATCTATAAGAATGAAAAAGGATGTCAATTTCGGGAGTGTTTTTGCGCCTAGTGCGGATTTTTAGCGGTTCATAATTATACGAACACCTCAAACAAAGTTCCATTTTTTATTCACAATTGCAGTCATTTGAGTCCAAATTTTTTTGTAAAGCTACAGCAACAAAGTCTGACGTGTCCGCTACACACTGAACCCAGTGAAGTTCAAAAAGAAGACCGTTACTTTTTTCAGAAGGCTCTAAATGCTTCTGGAGTAATTGCGCTCCAAAACATCCGTTTTTCTGCGGTTTACGCGCTCTAATTAGCTTTTACCAAAGCTATGAGATAAAGTAAGCTCTTTCGATGTGTATCTCTTTGTGTTTTCGTGCCTTTTTTCTACCAAGTTCCAACCTTACCACAGCGTTAGCACGATTTCGAGCCTCAAACTCAGCTTCTCTCTCGCGCAAACATTTGATATGAAGCGGCTGCATTGTTTACATGATGATGTTTCTGTGCCAAAGTTCTTGGGTTTTTTGTGGAACTGATCTTGAGGCTGTGGAGCTACAAACCAAATAAAGGTGTGATAGCAATAGTAAA